TCAAAAGGAACAAGGTGATCTTGGCTTCTGACAGAGACCACTTTTGAGTCAACCTTCTGTCCTCCTCCCACACAGAGCTAACTGGTTTCAAAGAGGGAAAGCAGGACACCTTAACCTTGATAAGTGACAATACAATAAAGTTTTATAAAATTGATTTGTTCCAGAAAACCAAAAAGGGCTTTTGGGAGAAAAAGTAAGAATAAACCATTTACTCTCAAATTTCCCAGGAAAGTACAATCTAACAAGATGAGAGACAAAAAAGTTAGTCACTGCCCTTTCTTAATACATTTAGAAACAGAAAAAATATATATATAAAGGATTATTCACATATATTAAAAATTCTATTCATAGTATATTATCCTTCACGCAAAAAGGGGACATAAAAATACATGTATCTGCTCACTTCTGCAAAAAAATACAATAATAAACCAGGAACTAATGAGATTGGTTACCTATAGGAGGTAGGAAGGAACAGAGTGGAAATAATGAGGAAATGGGAACAGGTTAGTAGGGATGAGGGGGGGAATAACACTTCTGAGTATATCTTTTTGTATCATCTAAAATCATGGTAATGTTTCATACACCAAAAAAAAAACAAATAATTAAAACCTACCAGAGTGTGGGGGGAATCCCAATGGAAGGTAAACATAACAAATGAACTTAACCATATTACAAATGAATAACATAACCATACTGAAGGGAATGAGGATGAAAGAACTAACCTAAGTTGGAAAACAGTGTTTTCAATGTATGCTATAGGCTAATGACAAAAGGAAGTACACTCAAATATTTCCTACTTAGGAAAAAATATTTTTTAAAATATTTATTTATTTATTTAGGCTGCGCTGGGTCTTAGTTGCGGCATGCAGGATCTGTGTTGCAGCATGCAGACTCTTAGTTGCAGCATGCGTGCAGGATCTAGTTCCCTGACCAGGGGTCGAACCCAGGCCCCCTGCACTGGGAGCATGGAGTCTTACCCACTGGACCACCAGGGAAGTCCCAGGAAATTTGTTTTTCACAGGGGTATGGGTTAGCAATTCTGAAACTACTTTCTGTATATACCATGATTGAGCAAATAAATAAATACACTGTGAATAATGAGAGCCAGGTTTCTCACTGTTGGAGAAAGCAATTTCAAAGAAGCAAAGAGAGGAGGCTAAAACAAAACTGTGGTGGGCTGAAATTGAAAGTGTCAGTATGTACTCATAGTTTTTAATATACATATACAGACTAATACAGAAGTACACATAGAATGTGTATATATGCATGTCAAGATATATGTATTTTCTAGCTCTGTTAAGAGGTTCTAGAAGCAATAACATTCCATAGCATGAGTATACCTAGCACCCAGATCTTCATTTCTAAATACCATTCTCCAGTAAAAGGAATCAGCTCCTTGGAGGAATGGCTGATTCCAGACCGGGGGCAGGAAAATTACCAAATAAGCCCTAAGCATCTAGTGGTGTCATAAGTAAGAAAGTGCTCAAGAAACAATGTTGAAAGGACCAAAGAGCCAAGTTGAAGGAGCTTCCAATGGCCAAATCTAGGACAATCTGAGCAACAAAATAAATAAGAATAGTAATGAATAATAACCTACAGAATAAAATGACATCCATGGGTCAATACTGATATAAATAAACAACTGAATAAACAGGGGAGAAGAGGCAGCTCTTCCTTACAGCAGAATTCTAATTAAATGTAGAAGAAACAGTGGACATAGAAAAATCACCATTAGGCAAATACCACAGTAATAACTGTTGCATACAAAAGTCATTCATGGATGCTAAAATTAGTGTGTGAAGGTGTGATGTAAAAGAGGTTATCTGAATAGTTTCCAAGTATTTCCTTCCCAATGAGATACTTAGTAACTAGAGAGAGAAAAATAGTACCTTTACAGTGGAGAAACATGGCAGACCCCACCTTAACCAAGTGGCCCAAGTTAACATCAACAGTAATGAGACATCAATGTCATGTACTTCCTGATAATGATGAACTGAGATGGGCACATCACTTATGTATTTTTCCAAATATGCATAGCCTCAATCTAATCAGGGGAAAACATCAAACCAACCCAAATTAAGGGATATTCTACAATAATTGGCCTTCAATTATTTAATTTTAACTTCAAAAGTGTTAAAAGTCATGAAAAACACAAAGACTGATCAGCTGTCACAGATTGGAGGAGACAAAGAAACATGACAACTAAATTACAATGTTGTATCCTGAATTTGATGGTGGACTTGAAAAAGGACATCAGCGTGGCAACAGGTGAAATTCAAGTAAGATTTGTAGAATAGTTAATAGCACTGAATCAATGTTAATTTCCTGATTTTGATAAAAGTACTGTGGTTAAGTAAGATGTCAACATTAGGGGAAGCTGGGTGAAGCATATAAGGAAATTCTCTGTACTAGTTCTGCAACTTTTCCAGAAGTCAAAAATTATTTCAAAATGAAAAGTTAAAAAAATGACTCCAATTGAAAATATTACCAAAAGCAAGATTTGATTTAATTTAGCCTGCTCCAAAGTTAACTCTACAGTGGTAGTTTTGTGGTATTGCCTATAACTGGGAAGTTTTTCCTTTTAATTTAGTTGACAAAAACCTCCAATTTTAAAATATATAACTTGTTAAATCTGGGGAGTCACTGTATCACAGGGGGAAAAAACCCTCTACTTCTGTATATGTTTGAAATTTTTCATAATAAAAATTTAAAATACATGTTATAGACAAGATTTTTAAGTTCTTGTTAATATATTGAGGAGAATTTTCTATCATTCCTATAACTTTCATAAACATTTAGAATTCTATCAGGAATTTTTCGGGCTAGTAGGACCTTAGAAATTAAGGAGTCTACCCCTGTGTCACTGGACAGGAAAGAAGCTGATGCCAGAAAGGCAACGTCTAGTTAGAGTGGGCCAAAGCCTGAACCCTATCTTCCGGCTCCTGGTCCAGGTATTTCTCCAACACTATACACCTGAGCTTTTCTTCATTTATTCTAAAACTTATCAAGAGTGATAACTATCTAAACACTTTAACTACAACAGAACAGTAATACTATTTATAACTTTCCAATTAAAAAAAAAAACTAAATTTGAACTAATTTGCCAGACTCGTGGAAATGAAACATGCATTCAAAGTAGAATGTAAAATAATGTTGTGGTTCAACACGCAACATTAAAGATGAGAAAATCAACTATTCTAGTTTACATTTTAAAAATGAACTCTTTAGGCCTTTTATATTGATAATATCAGTAGTTCACGCTGCCATCCTTATTTAGTAATTTGATTTTTTAAAAAATTCTTTTTATTTTATTTATTTTTGGCTGTGTTGGGTCTTCGTTGCTGCATGCAGGCTTTCTCTAGTTGTGGTGAGCGGGGGCTACTCTCCATTGCGGTACGCAGGCTTCTCATTGTAGTGGCTTCTCTTGTTGCGGAGCACCAGCTCTATGTGCGTGGGCTTCAGTAGTTGTGGCTCGCGGGTTCTAGAGCACAGGCTCAGTAGTTGTGGCACACTGGCTTAGTTGCTCTGCAGCATGTGGGAACTTCCTGAACCAGGGTTGGAACCCGTGTCCTCTGCACTGGCAGGCAGATTCTTAACCACTGCGCCACCAGGGAAACCCAGTGATTTTATTTTTTAAGGGAGGTATTTCTTTCTTTCTTTTTAAAATTTAAAAAGTTTTTTTGGCTGCGCCACGCGGCTTACAAAATCTTAGTTCCCCAACCAGGGACTGAACCCGGGCCATAGCAGTAAAAGTGCCGAGTCCTAACCGTTGGACCACCAGGGAATTCCCTTGCCTTTTTTTTTATAACTTAAAAAAAATTTTTTTTTTAATTTATTTGTTCTATTTATTCATCTTTGGCTGCATTGGATTCCCGCTGCTGCACACGGGTCCCCTCCAGCTGTGGCAAGCGGGGGCCACTCCTCGCCGTGGCACACGGGCCCAGTTGCTCTCCCGGACCAGGGATTGAACGCACGTCCCCTGCATTGGCAGGTGGACCCCAACCACTGCGCCACCAGGGAAGCCCTCCCTTGATTTTTTTAAATGGAAGTATTTGTTTTCTCACTACTGTCTTTTTTGAAGTACTTCAACTCAGTAAATGCCATCTTGAAAACATTTATCCATGCAGAAAGCATTTACTGAACAACAAATGTGTGTAAGGCTCTGTAGGTGATGCTGGAAACAAAAAGATGAAGAAAGATTCTGGTCCTCCAGCACTCACTGTGTACTAGGGAAATGGGCAGATGCTGATTAGAATATAAAGTAACAAGTAGTGTACACACAATGTGTGTACACACAATGTGTGTACACCTCCCTCTGGGAGGGTGGACGGGTGCTCAGTTAACCCAGTCCTCAGCCCTGTCCTTATATCCAACTTATTAGCAAATGAAGAAAATGGAATAGCTTCAGGTCACTCAATAAATGACAAAGCAGAGCTTGAGCCCAGGTCTCCTGACACAGAACAGAATAAACTATTCTCCTGTTTTGATCTAACTAAAATGATGAACTGTTTTTTATCTTAATGACAGCCAGTGAAATGGGTTTGATGCCCTGACGGGCATTACAATCTACTACTCTATTTGGTAACTCTGTAACCTTGGGTAATTTACATAACTTCTCTGAACTCACTTTTCTCACCTAGGGATAATTAATCATAGCTCAAAAGGTTATTGTGAGAAATAAATAAATAATATATAAGGCAACTAATGTAACTGTTGGCACACCAAGGAGTCCACAGACCAAGAATTCATTGATGGATGGGCTTACCTTTTACTCATTGTTTTGAGTTTGAAGAGGCTGGTAGTTCTTGGCACACACAGGTTGAATGAATATTTACTAAATGAAGTCACTTTTAAATAAATGTTGAATTTAAAACTATTAAGAAATATATATTCAATATATTTATTTTCATAAACAAATTTTTTAAAACAAAATCTCCATTTCATCCACATAATTGGAACCCAACTTTTAAGGACCAGTTCCCTCTCACAGCAGTACTTACTTTCTACTGTCGCTCCTTCGTTTGGGTTTGAATACCCTTCTCCTTTCCGTTTGATCCTTCGGATAATACCTCCATCTTCAAATAAATCCTCTCCTTTGAAATCAAGAAGCTCAATCTAGAAAGGAAAAAGGGATCTGACTGAGAACGGACCAAAAAAGCCAATTTAACATACTTAAAGGCAAGGGCAACCACTCTCCTTTCATTTTACAAAATAAAACTCTGTTTTATATTTACCTGTGCTTCTTAATTATTGGAAAAGTAGGGAAAAAAGAACACTGCACTTTTCAATACCTGGAAAGAAACTTCATGTAATGATAATGTCTAGGACTACATCCTGTGGGGCTGCAGTGCAAAGACAGACAGGAAATACTAGGAAAACTGCCTTGTGGGCAGAACGCCAGAGTGACACAGTGCTGGCCCAGACTATTTTGTCTGACTCTAGAGGCCACCACTTTTTCTCCCCAGATTCATGGGATGCCCTTCTTAAAATTAAGACTAAAGCTTATGAATCAGGCCTACAACCAACTAAAGGTGTATTTTACCTAGTTACAATGTTTTAGGCATTTCCCCTCTTTAATTTTTTAATTAGGCATGGCCAAATATGTATAATTCAACACAATGAATACCATTTTATCACCATCTACAGCTTCTAATGAGGAAGTGAGATCTGTGACATTTATAAACCTCTGTAATATGAAAATAGCTTTACAACTTGCTTTATAGCTTTCGGTATATTTCAGCATGTATCTCCCTATCTCCCACATTTCCATCCTGTCTTCTGATCAGGTTTGAGTATGTCATAACTCACACCACTGACCAGAACCTTTATTTCTAAGCCTGTTGTCTTTTGTTTATTTGGATATGACCGTTTTCTGCCAGAGACACGTTTCTAAGAAAGCACTGGCACACATCCCTTGGGTTTGTGGGAAACAATTCAAGAAGCCAAGCTCCAAAATAAATAAGTTGGATCTGATTCTCAATAGCAAGCTCAGCTCCTTGTTCCACTGCCTGTTGCTTTGGAGCCAGCACTATAGTAGAGCAGATGCTAACAAGGCAACATCACACACATACTTGCCTCAAAAAAGAGAGTTGCATTCGAGGGAATTTTGGGGAGACTGCCAGCCGAGCCATATGCATATTCTGGTTTGCACAGTAAATGACAGATCTCTCCTTTCTTCATGGTAGCCACCCCAATGTCCCATGCCTTGATAACTTGGCCTAGGAGAAAGGAAAAAGTGGTTGAAAGCTATAAGGCGTATTTTAAAAGACTTAATTGTCACGAAACAAAAGTTCAAACGAATTTCCAATTCCTTACATACTATTCAGCTAGGAAGTAGGGGCTAAAAAAACCCTCAGTGAGACCTATACACTAAGAAATAAATTGTGATTTTTTTTTTGAGGGCTATCAGAGAAGATTCTCTGCTGAGAAGGATGAAAGTAGTATCAGTTTCTAAACTACTCAAAGACTAAGTCTTTGAAAAGTGGCAGTAACATCATCTTTGAAATGTGGCTGGGCTGCAGTTGTTGCTTAATTTATAATTTCAACCATAAGAATAAGTGCGTGTTTTCTAGGCAGAAATGGAACAAAAATAGTATAGAAAATGGAATTTGTCCTAAGAAAGCTTATAATTTAGTTGGGCAGACAAAAACAACAAACAAGAAACCGGAAAAGTATAAATTGTATAAAAAGGCCCATGAAACAGATTTCTTCTCAAAATTTAGAGTAAGAAAAAAAGTGGGTTTTGTTTTTCTAAAAAAAACAGAATGATATGTATCCTTTTTTGCCAAATCACAAGAAGTGCAGAACTCAGAATTTTTTTTTTTTCCTACTTCCAGGGAACAAAGCTTACTGCTCAGCTGTAAAACTATATTAACCCACATAATTGTAATTGTATCTCACAATAAGCAGTCCCAAATCCTTTGGGAAACAATAGAAAATGTACAAAATTTCAAGGGATAATATATACATTTGAGGTGCTATGTCAAAGACTTAAGTATTCAAAGTGAGATCAGGTAATAAGCAATGAACTCCAGAGAAGGTGAATTTTGAAGAGAGCTATTATCTTGAACTGAGAACTGATGTTAGGATTAGAGTAAGGATGATTAGAATAAGGGGAACCCTATACTAAGGTATGTAAGTAGATATGGACAAAGCATTTGTGACTCATGACTTCAGCTTAGTCTTAGGCATTACAACTTTTCAAAATATCAGATACACTTATTTTAGTTAAAAGTGTATATAAGGTATACATGCCAATTATTAAAACACACATGAGAGAAAGACATAAGTGAAAGGTAAAAGGTCATCCATTCCCTCCTTAAAAGAAGCCACTGTTATGTTTTTTTTGTACCCATCCACTGTGTGCTGTCGCTTTTAAAAAAATTTAAAACACAAATGACAGCATACTATACATTCAGTTCTGAACTGTTTTCTCATTACATAGATATATATTTTAATTATATAGAAATATGTTATAAATAAATATATAATGTTTAAAATTTATTCATTTATGTGTATATACATATCTTTATCCATCAGCAGATAGGATATGCGTTTTAGGGGTTAGACGTGCAGCCTGCTTTAACTTCAGACTGACTAAATTAGAATACCAGGTCGGCCCCATATTAGTTGTGTGACCTTGTGCAAGTTTCCTCATCTGCAAAATGTAGATAATAATAGTACCTGCCATATAGTTATTACAAGAATTATTAGATAAAATATGTCAAGTGCCTGGCATATAATATGTATTTAATAAAGGACAGTTATAATCATCGTAAATACATACTGACCTACTTCATTCTCAGTGGCTTCGTAATATTGCAGTCACTCTACTATTGAGATACATTGCCAACAGTACTCTAATAAGAATTTTTGTCCCTTATGTTTGCCTATTTTGTGCAAGTATATTTGGAAGGTAAATTCCTGGAAGTGCAAAGGTGATGTGCACTTTCCATTTGATAGATATTGCCCAACTGCCCTTTCAAAAGGGCTACACCAATTTATATGCCCACACACGGTTCCAATGTGAAAACAGTCTAGAATCATCAGAAGAAATGTAAAGTCTGCTGTTGACAGGCTGCTCTACTGTCACTGATGCTCTTCAAAGACTGCAATGGCTTTAGCGTGGGCCATTTAGAACAATTTTTTTTTTCTACTCTCAACTCCGATATTTTAAGACAAATACCTTACACCCTCTTTCAAGAAATCTTTATACTATGGGGTTACTACTGTACATTTGTTCAAGGCATTCAGCCAATTACTGAGGAGCAAAGGTCTGTCTAGGTACTAAAAATACAAAGGTGGCTGTTCTCTTCTTCCTTCCAAGAAACATGCAATGTAGTATCGCTAGTGGAGCAGAAAGATACCTGCCCTGATTTTTTTAAGCATAGTGAACACTAACATAAGAGTACAAACAGGGGCTTTTGCCTTGGGGTGGGGTTGGAACAGTCAGCAAAAGCTTACTTCACAGATGATGCCTATGCTAGGCCTTAGAAGTTGGAAACGTCAGCCTGGCTATTAAATCCACAGGAGCCTCAAGCTGAATAAATCATGCCTATGCCTTTGGCTCTTCTTCTCATTCAGGAACATTAAAGCTTCTTTTAAACACTCAGCTTTAGACACTGAAGGAAACACGCTGAGCAAAGAGCCAGACTGATATGAACACAGGTATATTTCTAAAATTGCCAATCTTGGGCCTCTTTTCTTAAATTGCCAATCTTGGGCCTCTTTTCCCCCTGATTTAAAAAATAATAATACATACTCATTATAGAACAGTTGGAAAGTATATAAAAGCACAGAGAATAAAAAAACCTCTGAAATTTCAGCATCTGGGGTAAACTGTCAATTTCTTGGTTTTCTTCCAATTGTGTATGTATACTTTGTTTACATATTAAATTTTTTATATATACATTCTTAAAATTCTGATCATAGTTTATTTGGTTTTGTAGCCTACTCTGCATTTCACATTATATGAGCATTTTTCTTGTTAAAAGATAATACCTGAAAACATGACTTTTAATAACTATATGCTATTTACTATTTCATCTTTTAAATATGCCATAATTTCATTACTCCCACTAATAAATATTTAAATTGCTTTTTTTTTTTACTCTTATTAAGTTGCAATAAACAACTCTGCACCTAAATCTTCACATGATTTTTTTTTTTTGCATAATGAAAGCCTCTTACCTGACACATTAGGACTATGGTTGTAGGTTAATTTAAAATGTTGCTTTAAGTGAGGAATCATAAAAATGAACATATACAACCTCAAACTTTTTTTAAACTTAAAACCTATCAAAGTATATTAATTCACTAATCCTGTGATAGAAGTCCAAGGCCTTGTCTGCGTGTGACAAGTGATAAGAGTTCTATATCATCTTTATATAAATCACACTTATGGCGTATCATTTGCAACTTACAACATGGATTTCTTTAAAGTGAAGTAAGAAGTAGAAAACACTTGTAAAAAGCAATCAGTATGTGGAATCCTTCTGGTAAAAATGTGTTCTGAATGGCCTACTTATTTCACCTAGCGTTTACCCACCCCTAATGCAACTGCCATTTTTTACCTTTTTTTTTTTTTTTTTGGCAGTACGCGGGCCTCTCACTGCTGGGGCCCCTCCCGCTGCAGAGCACAGGCTCCGGACGCGCAGGCTCAGTGGCCATGGCTCACGGGCCCAGCCGCTCCGCGGCATGTGGGATCCTCCCGGACCAGGGCACGAAGCCGCGTCCCCTGCATCGGCAGGCGAACTCTCAACCACTGCGCTACCAGGGAAGCCCGCAACTGCCATTTTTTAAAAGATATTTATTTATTTATTTGACTGCCCTGGGTCTTAGTTGTGGCACGCAGGATCTTTTAGTTGCGGCATGTGAACTCTTACTTGCAGCATGTGAGATCTAGTTCCCTGACCAGGGATCAAACCCAGACCACCTGTATCGGAAGCTTGGAGTCTTAGCCACTGGACCACCAGGGAAGTCCCTCAATAGCTATTTAAAAAAGGCTTTTAGCAATTCACTTTAATAAGTCTTTCCAAAGATGTTCAACTTAGTTTTCAAAGAAATAAGTCCCATTTCTTATTACACTAATTTCAGAGTTTTATATACTATCTAATGAACTTATATAATTACAAAAAGGACAATGGATATAAACAAGTTTAGACTGATTCTTAATAAGAGTCTGAGGAAGAAAAAAGCACACCCTAATGTCTGGAAACTGCCCGACACTTACAGCTAGGCCTTGGTGATTCTGAAGCTGGACTGGGGCACACAGCCAAGCCATGTTATTCTCCTGTTGGACATAACAATCTCACAAAACATCAACATCAGACAAGGTCACTCTGAGACCATGAAAAAGTGAGACAAAACAAGAACACTTCAAAATTTTGTCTGAGCATGGACAAAAAACAAGGTCCCTGTGCAACCTACAAAATACCAAACATCCCCCTCTCCTGGTGACATGAGTGACTTCTGCTTCTCTACAGGTGTAGCTTTAGTCTCACTCCAGTCAGCCCTCCTCCTAGATAAGATTTACTAAGATACCCAAAGAATCACCTGCATCCCAACAATACCCAATCCAGAGCAAATCCCTTCTTCCTTAAACTCTTCCCCAAATCACCTAATACAAGTCCAAATCCTATAAAAGACCTTCTGAACACTCTGAGACACCTCCAGTTTCCCATGGTGTGCAGTCTACCTCCCTACGAGTAATAAACCCAACTTGTTCACTATAGTTGTGTTCCTAGTGGTCTGTGGGTGGAGGGCATTGACAAGGCTCACTCAACTGGCTGAAGTATAGTGCAGGGCCACAGTGAAGAATATGAAACTAGCGGTGTCACTCAGTGTATTTACAAGTAGAATGGAGAGCAGCAGTTAGTCTGGAGTTGGTTAAGCAAGCTTCTACCATATTTCCTTAGATTCAATTCCTAGAAGTAGAATTACTGGGTCAAAGCATAAACATTTTTAAGATTCTTGATCTTTGGGATCTTTTGATCTTTAGGGTCTTAACTGTAGGTATAATACACCAAGAATATATAAACGCAATTTATTCTTCCACTTGTTCTGGACTTCAATTTTACTGGCTCAAACACAATTTATCAACTTCAGTAGTCCCATTCCATTAGTAACAAAATCTGAAATAAGAATATATATTTATTTTAAAAAAAAAGAATATATATTTACACAAATATATAATGTATCTATCTTTAAGTGTAAATGC